GGGGGGGGGCGATCCCGACCATGAGGACGCTTGGTGGGCCTACAAGAACGCCGTGCGCCGCCGCAACCCGCGCAGTCACGACATCATAGTGGTTCACTACTGCGGGCCAAAGAAAGGTGAAATGACGTCGTTTGCGCCGCCGTTGCCACGTAGTAGTGAACTGCATTGCTGGGAACTTAAGAGCACAATTTTTTCAACACACACTTGTTGGAAATGTGTTGGAAACATGTTGGACCAATGTTGAACGCATGTTAAAAATATGTTGGTCGCATATTGGTAAACGATTGAAAACATGGATCCGACCCTCCTAAGCGGTTGGACACATCATTTCATGGAGTTCCAATGCTGGTCCAGTCTTGGGCCCAAGTTGAAAACTTGATGAAATTTTGCCACAATTTTTCTGTTGTTGACGTTACCGGTGCAGGGACGAGAAGTTCCAAAAGCGATGACTATCAGTTCAAAAAGAAAGGCGATGGAGAGAGAGAGAATGAGTTACACCGAGACTGCGCGTGCGCGCAGGAAAGGCCGTGGAGGGGAGGGGAACAACAGGATCAACACACTCACACTCCTACGCAGACGGTCCTCCAGTTCAGTTCCCCCATCCCCGCCCGGATAAGTACATACACACATACATGCATGCAATCAACAACCCTTGATAGGACATCCAATCATCCATAGACCTTCGACATCACTCATGTGCACAACCAGCTCCCATCACTCGGGGCTTCACACACACGTCATGCATAGACAAAGTAGCAATGGAGATAAAAGTGAGTCCTTCTTGTACACAAAAATTCTCAATTAACTGCCGTCCCCAGGCGCAGCCTTCAAAACCTCCCAAGACCACCGACCACCATAGCCACAAGGCCCTGCCACGGCCGGCGCCCAATCCCCACCACTGCTCAGTCCCTCCGACTGCTTCGCCCTGAGACTACCGCGGGTCCACCCCACGTCGTCACTCTGCCCGTCCTTGGGCTCGTCGAGCCTATTCGGCGCCGCGGACTTCCGCGCATAGCTTGCGCAACATTACAGCCGAGATCAAAGAGAGAAAGAGGAGAGTGTTGCGGGAATTTATAGCGCGGGAGGCGGCGGGTTGTCAGCGCGAGGTGCGGGCAGCGCAGGTTGTAGATGAGCGGGACAGGAGGAAGGTGGGGAGTTAGAGGGTTCGACCCACGGGATGGCATAGTCCTACGTGATTGGGGTGTCCGTTCAAGTGGTGCGCAGTTTCCCGCTCTCTACATTGATCCGAGCATCCCAACTACGCGGCTAATCACTTCGCGGAGTAAGGATCGAGCTGGGGGGGGAGGGGAAGACGAAGAGTCCTGCATGGGGGAAGTGTGCACAGCAAGAAGGGAAGATGGCGCGGGGATGCAAAGCAAGAACCGGGGGTGCGAGACGCGCGAAGAAGTCGGAGCTTAGGCGCGCGCACGCGCAAAAATTCAAAAAGTCCCCACCGAAACCGTTTCTTGGTTCGCGCGGTACGGGTCTGAGCTTATCACATCTGTGATACGCAGGGGGTTCCGAAAAATTAGCAGTCTCCCGACTGCTGAGGTCATCATGTCTTAGATGATCGGGCGGCCTCTTCATCGTCAGCTGGCTCGATCATCTTCCTAATCTACGTGGATACATCT